CTTCAGAAACATTTTATTCAAAGTTCTAAACTAGGCTAATGTAGTAAACGTCTTTTTTACTTTGAACTTATAACAGATTTTATTTTCGCTTACGAAATGGTGTGCCTTCATTTTTCATAGTATTTTTTTATCATTACTATTATTTTTGTTTTATTTTTTCTATCTCTTTATTTCTCTTTTCTTTCAGTCTTTCTATTGTTATTATTATTTCTTTAATTGATTTTTCTATTTCTCTATTTCTCTATTCTTCTATTAATCTCTCTATTTCTCTTTTCTTCTACTCTTTTTTATTATTATTTCTTTTATCATATTTTTCTGTCTCTTTATTTCTCTTTTCTTCTTATCATTTTCTTTTTTTTTTTTCTATTCTCTATTTTTCTTTCTTTTCCTCTTTCTTTTCTTCTTATTTCTTTCTTTTATTATTTTTTCTATCTATCTATTTCTCTTTTATTCTACTCTTTCTTTTCTTATTATTATTTCTTTTTCTTATTAATCTTCCTATCACTATTTCTCTTTTCTTCTACCTATTTAATCCTCATATACAACCAACACATTAGAAAAGAAATAACAGTGAAAATACCTTTGCTTTTGCTACAATAAAATTCACGTATGCATTGCAATTCATGATTAATATTGCAGAATAATAATCCACATGTTGATTTGAATATAAATATGCCTGTTTGTAGCTGAGGATGTCAGTTACGGATTTTTATTTTGTGGTCTTTTGCCAATGAAGGTTTTGTGATTTTTTTCTTTTCTTTTGTAGTTAATGTAGAACAGAATGTGTCTTTTACCAATGGAATTTATTTTTTTTTTTCGTAACAATTGTTGTGATTTTGTTGTTATTTTTGATTTTTTTCTCTTCTCTCTTCTCTCTCTCTCTCTCCTCTTTTCTCTCTCTCTCTCTCTTCTCTCTCTCAATCTTTTCTCTTCTCAATCTTTCTCTCTCAATCTCTCTCTTCTCTTCTCTCTTCTCTTCTCTCTCTCCTCTCTCTCTCTCTCTCTCTCTCTCTCTCTCTCTCTCTTATCTATCTATCTTCTGTCTATCTCTCTCTCACACCATATATATGTACTGTGTGTGTTAGTGCATGCTGCTGTGTGGTGTGTTTGTTGTGTGTGTGTGTGTGTGTGTGGTGTGTGGTGGGTGTGTGTGTGTGTGTGTTGTGTGTGTGTGTGTGTGTGTTGTGTGTGTGTGTGTGTGTGTGTGGGTGTGTGTGTGTGCGTGCGTGCGTGTGTGTGTGCGTAGATACACATACAAGACCGTTAAAAATAAATCAAGGTATAAACTTATCTTCTCGTTATACGGACATTCTTTTTTCTTTTTTTTTAACAGGTGATGGAAAGAATGGAAGCTGACAAATGCTATTTATATTTTTGCCGCCAAAGTCGATGCAGTAAAGGGAGGAGGAGGGGGGAGGAGGGGAGGTGGGAGAGGAGGGGGTAGAGCGAGGTCGCGTTGGCAAATATTTGGTTTGTTCTCTAAAATGCTCTCTCTGGCTCTCTCACTTTTCTCTTTATCTTTCTCTCTCTTTTCTTTTTTCTTTTGAGTGTCTTCTTTCTGGTGTTTTTTTTTCTTTCTTTATTTTTTGCATCGTTATCTTTCCTCTCTGTCTCTGTCTCTTCTCTCTCTCTCTTCTCTCTCTCTCTCTCTCTCTCTCTTTCTCTCTCTCTCTTCTCTCTCTCTTCTCTCTTCTCTCTTCTTTCTTCTCTCTCTCTATCTATCTATTATCTATTTATCTCTATTCTTATCTATCTCTCTCTATATATGATTCTATCTACTTTTAAGGTCGTTATATCTACACTCTATCCATCTAATTATGTCTGTCTGTTTATCTATTTGTTATTTTTTATCTTTTTTTTTTTTGTATTTATTCAAATATTTCCCTTTACTTTCTCTCTTAAATTCTCTTATTTATCATTCTTCGTCTATCTCCTTTTGTTCATCTTTTTTTTGTCATTGTAAAGAATTATGACAAAAATAATATCCTTCGATCTCTAACCGCAAAGGCACCGTGCCTATTCTTTCTGAAAAAAAAAAAATCTAAACACTTAACCCTGATGACAACACTTGATATTCTTTTCGTTGTCTCACTTTTTGTTCTTTCTTTGATGGTCTAAAAAATGCATATCCTCATGCTACCACCGTGCTTNGGAAAAAGGAAAGGAAGGAGGAAGGAAAGGAAAGGTTGGGAAGGAGAGGAGAAGGAGAAAAGGAGGAAGGAAGAGGAAGAAATGATGATGGAATGAATGAAAGGAGGGAAGGGAAGAAATGACGGGGGGAGAAGAGGAAGAAAAGACGAAGAAAAAGGAGGAAGAGTAGGGGGAAAATACGGAAACTAGGAGGAAGTAGGAATGCAAAAAAAGAGGGAAAGAGAATAGGAGATGGGTTGGGGCAGCGAGGAAGGGGAAGGGAAGAGGAAGAAAAAGGAAGGAAGGAAGGAAGAAAGGAAGGAAGGATGGGAAGAAAGAAGAAGAGTGAAGAAATGGAAGAAACAATTAAAAAGGAAGGAAAGGAGGGAGGGAAGAGAAAAAACAGAGAAGTTAGGAATGAGGAGTTAGAACAAGTAAGAAAAAAACGAAAAAACGAAAAAAGGGAGAAAAATAAACGAACGAAGGAAGAAATAGGAAGAGAGATAACCAACAGCAAACCGCGACTCAGACAAGGAATAAGGAGACAACATAAACCCACCCAGCCAAAGAGACCAAAACCCAACTTACCTTCACCTTCACGTAATAACTCATAAAGTCACGTGTCCAGCTGGTGGAGTCAAAGCCCAATCCATAATGTTTCTTTATGGTGTTTTTTTTCCTTTATTTTTGTAGCATTGTCGTTGTATTTTTTGTAGTTCTGGTGATGTATTCTGTCTCGTGTCACTCTCCTCGCTCAGATCGTGGCTTCAGTACAGCTGTATTGTCTCCTATCTGCGTTTGAGTGTGTTTATACTGCTGGGAGCTGGATGTACACAGGTAGATAGGTAGGTGGATGGATAGAGGGATATGTATGTATGTATGTGTGTATGTAGAGAGAGAGAGAGAGAGAGAGAGAGAGAGAGATAGAGAGAGAGAGAGAGAGAGAGAGAGAGAGAGAGAGAGAGAGAGAGAGAGAGAAAGGCAAGACAATCAGCTCATAAAATCTCCCTACATCTTCCCCCTTTCCTCTTCTCCTTCTAATCTATCTGCCTCGATCTTCATGCACCCCTTTCCCCCACCTCCCCCCCTTCCTCCCCTCCTCCTCCTCCCCTCCCTCCCTCCTCTCCCTCCTTCCTCCCTCCTCCCACGCCTTCCCCCACCCTCTCCTCCTTCCTCCCCTCCTCCCCCCTTCCCCCACCCTCCTCCCTCCTTCCTCGCCTCCTCCCCCTTTCCCTCCACCGCCTCCTCCCTTCCCCAACGCCTCGTCCCTCCTTCCCTCCCCTCCTCCCCCCTTCCCCACCCTCTCCTCCTTCCTCCCCTCTCTCCCCCTTTCCCCACCCTTCCCTTTTTCTCCCTCCTCCCCTTCCCCACCCTCTCCCTCCTTCCTCCTCCCCTTTCCCCCACCCTCTCCCTCCTTCCTCCCTCTCCCCCCTTCCCCCCACCCTCTCCTTCCTTCATCCCCTCCTCCCCCCTTCCCCACCCTCCTCCTTCCTCCCCTCCTCCCCCCCTCCCCACCCTCCCTCTTCCTTCTCCCCCACCCTCCTCCCCCACCCTTTCTCCTCCTCCTCCTTTCCCCACCCTCTCCCTCTTCCTCCCTCCTCCTCCCTTTCCCCAACCCTCCCTCCTTCCTCCTCCTCCCTCCCTCTCCCACCCCACCCTCTCCCTTCTTCCTCCCTCCTCCCCCCTTCCCCCACCCTCCTCCTGTCCTCCTCCTCCTCCCCTCCCCCCCCTATCCCTTCCCTCTCCTTCCCTCACCTTCCCCCCTTCCCCCACCCTCTCTCCTTCCTCCCCTCCTCCCATCCTCCCCATCCTCTCCCTCCTTCCTCCCCTCCCCCCTTCCCCCCCCCTCTCCCTCTCCCCCCCTTCCCCCCCCCTCTCCCTCCTTCCTCCCCTCCTCCCCCCTTCCCCCCCACCCTCTCCCATTCACACAATCGGAAAACTATTTCCTTAAAGTGCATTATTGGCTTCGTGGCTTTCAGGCTTGGGTCCCGGTGCCAGTCACGGGCCCTCTGGGAGCAGGCTTGCAGAAGCCCTGTTGGGGGTTTAGACCTCCTTAGGGTGGGTGGGAGGGGGAGGGGGGGGTCGTTCGCTGGTTATCATTCTTCTATTTCCTTCTTCTTTCTTCTTTCTTCTTCTTCTTTTATTATCATTATTGTTATTATTATCATTCGTCATCTTTTCCATCTTCTTTTTTCTTTACTTCTGTTCTTTTTCTTCTTTTTTTTCTTTTCTTCTTTTAATTTTTTTTTTTTCTTCTTGTTCTTGTTCTTTTCTTTCTTGTCATTTGTTCTTCTTTTTTCTTTTTCTTCCCTTTTTCTTTACTTCTTTTTTTCCTTCTTCTTTAATGTTCCTCATCTTCCGTCATCTTTTACTTCTTGTTCTCTTTCTTTTTTCTTTTTTTTTTTTGTTTTTTTTCTTCTTTTTCTTTCCGTCTTCTCGTTCTTTTTCTCTTTCTCTTTTTCTTCATAAGAGGCGGTCGGGCTTGAGTTCCGCTGGGTCGTTGTGGTGCAAGATGGCTTGCTGTTATCTTGCTGTTCCCGTCGTGGCTTGGTTCTTGGAAGTCGAGTCTGTCTGTTTGACCGACTCTCTCTCTCTCTCTCTTTCTCTCTTTCTCTTTCTGGTTCCTCTCTCCTCTCTCTGTCTGTCTGTCTGTCTCTCTCTCTCTTTCTCTCTCTCTCTCTCTCTCTCTCTCTCTCTCTCTCTCTCTCTCTCTTTCACTCACTCTCTCTCTCTCTCTCTTGTCTCATACGCACATAATAAAAGCGTTCAGCAACTAACACAGTATATATACACAAACCTCCCCTCCTTCCATCAAGCACACACACACACACACACAATCCAGTCACACACACACACACACACATGGACAC